TTCTGGAACTTCAGATAAAAGCCAATACCAGTAAATCAGCAGGAAGTGAAAGTATCCGTATGTCTATATCAGTTTCTTTTGACTGTAGTGCATCTAATTTAAAAAATTGATCTACCCTCTAAAATATTTATACATTTGAAGGAATATAGTCGTATAATGTACAGTGTTGCTTTCTGGTGATTTAATGTTCTCTAGTTAGAATACAGAATATAGAATGAATATTTATGAGACATAACTGTACTTTTGACATTGGGGGACAGTAGTTTCACTCTTGAGCAGCACTGGGTTAATATTTAACAGGCTGTTCGTTACTGTTCTTCAGGGCTTGGTTTAGGTGCGAGAGGACCATACTGTGGAACACTGCATTATTCCATAGAAATGGCCTCATGCATATAATGACGATACAAAATGTATCAAACTTCCACTCTGGGTTGTTTAACAGTGAATTAGACAGAGCGCTCAAACTAATCGAACGAGTCTGACTGAGAAGTCTTCGGAAAGTCCGATTTACAGCCAAGATCAAAAGTAAAAATCAGTCAGGCGAGTATCAGGGGGCCAAGCCAAGGAGCCAAAGGAGTGATAAGTAAATCCTTTTTTATGTAGTTTGTTCATCTCTTCTCAAGCCTTGATTCAGATTGACGGTTTGTCATTTAGCATTAGCACCAAACACTCTCTCTCTCTCTCTCTCTCTCACACACACACACACACACACACACACACACACACACACAAACAGTGTCACGCAGTACACTGCACCGCAGCTACTCATACACTCCTGCAGTGTTTCCCACACATACTTGCACGAGGCACCAGGTATATTGGCAACCGGCCAAAATTTTATTTGTTCAGAAAAAACAATGCACCTCATTTCCGACTTTGGCGGTGACATGAATTCAGCACAAGGTCAGCGGAAGCAGAGCAGCAGCAACACTAACTGAGAGAATATCCAGATGGGGGCTGATGACAGATAAACATAACTCAATTTCTTGCTGTCAATGATATATGAAGAGACCCTGAACGCCATTTAGTCTCAGACAGTTTATACCTGAGCTGCACTTGAATGACTAGCATTTCGACATATAAGATCAATCCAGAAAATGATGATTTCTTATGGACACACCAAATACTGACTTTGTTTCATTTATTACTGTTTACTGCTCTTTATAGTATTTTTTTTTTTAATGTAGAAACATTTAATTCCATTATTTTTGAAGGCATCTTTGCTCTACAGCATTTCTTTGCATGTACCTAAGACTTTTGCACAGTACTGTACATTCAGAATTTCACTTAGATTACAAACAGAGAGACATTCAAAGACATCTCAACAGGAAACATCACATTGTCTAAATGTGCGCTGCAGTTTTTTTTTTTGTTTGCTTGTTTTAGAGCATCACCTCCCTCACACGCTTCAAGCTCAGGAAGTGTAAGCACCAAAAACTGCACAGACGAAACTAACCCAGCAAAACCTTTACCAACACTTTCTCGGAGTGTTTCCTATGACACAGCAGCCCTGTGACACACACTCTATGGGTCCTGTGCTATGATTAACGATGAGGCGGTGTCTACCGAGACAACGTTATGATTATATTCTAAATCCTAGCGTAAGGTATCACTGTCTGATGTTGTACTGCTGCACTGCAAAATGTCTACATATTGCAAAAAAACACACAGAGAGCAACAATGACATAATAGTGTCCTGTTTTCAGTTAATAGAATGCCGAACAACTGCTGGCTATACTGAACTATCGGCACCCAGCATTAAAAAAAAAAAGCAAAATGATAGGATGTGCGGGATCAAGTGCTATTTTACAGCCTTCCGAATAATAACAATGGAAGGCTCTTAAAACCAGTTGTGCAGTGATTAATGGGATAATTACAATTCTGTTGACTATTCACCTTTTTATTCATCCATCATCATGTTAGTCTTTTTTACTTTTCATTTTTAAAAGTTGTCATATCATATTCACAGCAATAAATAATTTTTTTTTAAAAAAATGCTATTTCCTTCTTTGGTCTGCATTTTCTATGCCTTTTTTTCCAGGTTTAAAGGTGAGTGTTTGTGTTTAAAGGCGGTGATCTACAAAAACCCAATCTCGAAGGCTTCTACTCAAGAAAAATCTGGCAACATCGGAGGTATGAACTACGTGCAGGTAATTTACATAATCTGAATGAAGAGAGCAGAAACTCAACTTAAGCATGTGCGTAACCTGTCTCTGAATACGCCTAACTTTCCCCTCATAAATATGGGCATACATCGACAGGTCTGTTAAATCCAAGTTAAACCCATAAAAAGTTGTTAAAGAAAGTGAGTAGTCTATAAAATGCTGTATAACATTGGACCTGTAACAACAAATGTCTGGTTTTGCATAAATTTACATTACTGAGCCACAAAATTTTACATTTATTTACACCCACTTGATGTGAAATAAGTGCCAATAATTATTATTACATTTTCCCCATATTTCTAAATTTGATCATGTTTTATTAGTTTATTTTATTTTATTTTTTTTCCTTTACTGTAACTGATCTAGATAGAAACTGATCTAGTCATTAGACAGGGACTGAGAGAGCGAGAGAGAGAGGTGAGAGGGAGAAAAAAAGAAGTGAACAGAAAAAAAAAAAAGAGGACTGTTGTTACAGTCAGATTCCATTCTTTCGATCCACATCACATACACAACACTAACCTCGAGTCTCTGAATGTGACAGACAGAGAGGTGTGTGTTAATAACAGAAGAGGACAACTCAGCGTGAGTCACACGCACGCTTGCGTGCAAATACCTAGTCCAAGTTGTCCTACATGTCCAGAAACGAACACACGCCTCATTTATGTACTCTAAGTCACATTATAAAAATGACAACGGTGTTTTGTTTAACTGACATTTTTTTTAAAAAGTGTGTAAAAAAGAAATTTTAACGTCATCAGCTTTCTGTAACTACGAGTTACAATCGAAGTGATTATAAAAGTATTTAAAATATCGGTGATGGTATCGGAAAAGTGAATAGCAATATCATATCGTATCAAATCTTCATATCACAATAACTGCTTAACCATTTATCATGGTTTATACCACTGCGCAACTGAATGCTCGATTCTGATTGGACGGTGTTGATTCGTTTTCTATAACAATACCACTCGTTCGAACGTTATCGTTCTCACAGTAGCTTACACAGCGATTTGTGTGGTGGACGCTTCACATGAGCAAATTTTTAAAATGTGTGTTCTATAAGGAGATGTTTATTTAGCATTGTTGGAAGGAGTCTCCAATATCGGTGCTCGGTAACAGTCAGTGGTAAAGCTGTTACTTCAGGACAGAGGGGACACAGGGGACATTCCAGTTTCTAGGTAATAAGAAAATGCAATTTTTAGTCTTATTAACGTCGAGAGAGAGGCTGTTGAGGGAAATACTGTGTATAGCTGCTATAACGTAAGTGATAACAGGAACTAACTTGTTTCACGGACATTCCCCATCATTAAATGTAATAGTAAATGAATAAAAATTACACTGTTTCAGTCTTTAATAGAACACCGACTTCCGCTTTCATCACTGATTATGTTCCTATAGCAGCACATATCTTCATCATCATCATCATACATCATCATAAAGAATTCACCGCATTATACAGCTGCCCTTATGCCTCCTCCTGAGTGAGACAGATTTTATCTTGAGCACACAAACATGGCCCAAATATACTGCTACCTAGTCAACCACTTTCCAAAATAAAACACAGGCGTAAGACAGAAACATCATATACCACACTAACGGCACATGCCAGTTGCCCATCGTCCTTCAGCAAACCTCGTCAGGCCATAAGTTAAATTTACTACTACTTATTTTAGTGGGTTATTTTAAATCTTTAAAGTGGGCAGCCCTGAGCTGTGTCAGGTTTCAAAAATGCAAGCTGCCGGATAAACCATGTCCAGCTAGATCTCTCAGTTCCTGTATTTGTGTATGAGAACGTAAAATAATAATCTACACAAAGCACAATGTTCATTTCCAAAATGTGAGTGTTCAGACTGGTGAAAATGTCACTGCAGTGTTTTCTTTTAAAAACACTGGACGTGAAAAAGAAACTCAAAGCGAAAATCCTGAGTTGGTAAAGATTAGTTCTGACAGTAGTTTCATCTGCAAGACAAATCACAGGTTCATATCAATGTGCTCATTCTAATGCATTATCGTTTCCATAGTAACCACATACACGGGAATTTCTCTGGCCGTCTATTCATCTTAGACATAATCTAAGAGTAAAAAACTGATTTAAAAATATGTTGATTTTTAAAAAAAAGAAAAGCATATAGGCTAGTCCTAATCCTTCATACGGTGAGGTTTTCTTTAAGAAGTTGTTCATGTAACATTTATGGAAGGAGTCTCCAGTGTCAGCGCTTTGTAAAACTCTTCAGAATAGAGGCTTTCTGGTTTCTCGGTAACATGACAAGCCGTTTTATTTTTTTCTTAAATTGTCTAATTAACTTAAAGAACTTACAAAGAAAGAAAATGAACTTGAAAAGAGTGAAAAAAAGAGGATGATGAAGGAACAACTGTTTGTAGCTGTTATAACCTAAGCGATAAGAGAAGCTGACTTGTTTCGTGGATGTTCCACAACATTAAGCGTAACTAGAAATGGATAAAAAAAAAAAGTGCACTGTCCTTTGTTAATTAATAAAAAAATGTAAACCTGTACAGGCTGTGCCTAAGGATGCATCGGAACCGTTGTTTTCAGACAGAATACATGTTTTTTATATGACATGTATATGACATAAGTAACCTAATTGATGACGTGATTAATACTCTGGATTAATTATCTTTCCCCGGTTGCGGTCTGGCTTGCTTTGACTGCCATCGTTAATCATGAAAAAAGTCCAGATCGCTGTCATATCAAGTCGTCTGTTCACTAGCATCACAACATACACTAAGCTTACGTCAAATAGTACTACTTGATGTCGGATGTTGGTATCAGAGCGTCGTTTTTTTTTTTTTTTACAAGTTGTGATGTCATAAGGGTCCCTGGAGGACTAGTGGTTAGGCCACAGTGCTCTCATCGCCACAGCCCGGGTTCGATTCCCGGCCAGGGAAGCCACCCCACCCCACCCCTCCACTGGGGTTGCACACGACAGTGCAGTCCAAGTGCTGGACCCAAACCCGGATAAAACTGTGGCGGTCTGAGTCAGGAAGGGCATCCGGTGTAAAAACTGTGCCAAATCAAATACTGCTGTGAAGACCCCTAACAGGATCAGGCGAAAGAAGAAGACGAAGCCAACGAAGAAGTTGTGATGTCACATTGTAATTTGCCAGATTTTTAACTCAACTCCCTCTAAACTTACACAGCAGCTAACACATCACGTCTGCCCAGCCTAGGAGGATCAGCTTGGCCTGTCCCTGTGCTGTTAGAGATGATTAAAGCTATAAAGCTCATCTGGTTTGACATGCCCTGAGTCTGAATCACAGCTGACACTGAGTCATCTTTCTACAAGCTTCTGATACTGTGTTACAAGTGATTCATTAACCTTGTGAAATGTGACGTACAGGTTAAAACCGGATGCAGAGAAAGGAATATAACTTTACTTACATTAAGTCAGGCCTGTGTTTGTGGATTAGAGCACAGAAAGCCAGTCCATCTCTGAAGGACACTGACATGTTCTTAATGTCCACATCATGATATCCCTCACACTGCACCCGACACCACTCCTGGAGGGCTTTTAATGAACCCATGGTGTAAAAAACACAGTCCAGAGAAGGTGTTGGAGCTGGGAAAGTGGTGTTAGTTGTTGTTGTTGTTGCTGCTGCTGTTGTTTTTGTTGTTGTTGTTGTTGAATACAAAGTATCTCCAGGCACGCTACATAAACTAACAGTTACAGCGTTACACTTACAGTAGCTCGCTATTAAAACAGTTTTAAGCCAACAACTCACTAAAATGTCCTTTAAATGCTGCAGAACTCTATAATTATTTCTCCTTTCGGCTTAGCTTGACTAAAATGAACATCCATGTCACCCAAGACTCGAACAGTTAGCACTGCAAGCTAGTTAGCTAGCCGGCTAACTGTTATCTAGCCAGCTCCATAGGAGAAGTCTGCCAGAAATTCTTCACAAAACGGTTTTCTGTTTCAAATCTCCACCACAAGACTGTTGTGAATGTCCCTCCAAAGGGTCAGCAGTTAGCCTCTCCATCCTCATGACCAAATACAACAAATCACTCTTCTTTTCTGGTTTTTTTTTTTTTAATAAGCCAAATCTCCGACTCTTCTTGATCTTGACACTGGTTTGATTTTGTTTGTTTCAGAGTGTATTTCCTGCAACTCCTTCCGAAATAAACACATCTATAATGTTGGGAGTTGTCCTTGAAATCCAGCAGATGAACAGAAGAAAGCACGTCGTCCGGCTCCTGTTTCAATCCACTTCATGACACAGAAGATAAAACACACGCCTGTCCACCCAGAGTGCAAATCTGAAGAGTCAGGAATTACACGTCCAAATCCACTTCCTACTCACTACATAGGTGCACTATTTAGGGTCCTCTATACAGCCACTTCCACTCTCGACGTAGTGGCCGAAATGTCCAATGAGGAGTTATTCGATATTCGTCCATGTTGGCTTGTGGAGTAAAGGAATGTTTTGCGCCCTCTTGTGGACATTTGAAAAAGTCACATGAATCCAGTCTTATTTCCATGAGAAGGTGGTGTAATGTAATTAATAGCAATCTCTGCAGAGTGGGAGGGGCTTATACGCCAAGTGGGAGGGGTTAGGCTTGGGGTTAGTGTTAGGGACAACCAACAGAGTGGAGCTGTGCCAACTGGAGCTGACCTGGGCTGCAAAGATACAGGTCTCAAGAATCAAGATTCAAGAGTTTATTGTCATATGTACAGGAAACAGTCTGTTACACCCTACAATTAAATTCTTACTCTGTGAATCCTCTAGCAGCCTATGACATAAATAAAGGACATAAGAAAATAATACGCAAGGCATAAATTACAAATTTACTAATAGTACAAAAAAATGCAAGAGACAAAAATTATTGCATGTATAAAGTGTACTGTGTGCAATGTAACAAAGAAGACATGCATGTGCAAAGTCCTGTAGAGGTAGAACAGTCCATATTGCTTATTGCATTGAGAACAATGTATGTGCGTCGCAAGTATGCAGAGTTAGTCTGTGGTGTCTGTCTGATGTGTGTGTGTGTCTCATTAATAGCGAAGTAGTTCTGACAGTTTAGTCCCGTCCGAATCCAGAATGGCAGTCACTCATTTCCCGGAGGAAACCCGTGCAGACGCGGGAAGAATGTGCACAGAAACTCAGTACTCTGAGTGTTTAACCTTCTATAATATGACCAGTAGAAAAAACCCCAGGTAACATATATATCCATCCATTTTCTTTATTGCTTATCCTACACGGGGTTGTGGGGGAGCTTGGAGCCCATTACAGGGAACAAGGCGAGGTGCCAACCCATTGCACACACATTCACGCACTACGGACAGTTTTGGAAATTACAATGCATGTCTTTGGGCTGGGAGAAGAAACCGGAGTATATGCAAGCTCCACAGAGTGGACACAGGAATGTGATATATACAGCAAAAGTCTTAGGTACATGCAAAGAAAAGTAGTAGAGCAAAGATGCCTTCAAAAGTAATGACATTAAATGTTTCTACATTAACAAAAATACTATAAAGAGCAGTAAACAGTAATAAATGAAACAAAGTCAATATTTTGTGTGACGTTTTATGAGGAAATGAGCTGTAAGTGTTACTGAGCATCTTGCAGAAGCAGCCACAGTTCTTCTGGAGACTGTGACTGTCACACTTGCTTCTTAATTTTGCAGAAAAACCCAGCAGCAAAGTTTTTGTCCTGAATCAATAATGTAGAAGTCATAAAATCAAAATCTGTAACAAAGTTTGTACTAAAAAAAAAATAGGGTGCCTAAGACTTTTGCATAGTACTGTATGTATATATATATATATACATACATATATATGTACATACATATGGGTTTTTCTTAAGTATAAAAACACATCAGGAAGTAGTGCAATCTCCCCCTCTTTCTCTCTCTCTCACTCACTTACTCTGTCTCTCTCTGTTTTTATAACCTCCTGCTGAAACCAAAGTGAAACCAAGTATATATGGGTCTAGCCTACATACATGTTATGGGCATGTAACCTGTTCATTAACAAGCACAAACCGTGCAGCCACAAGCCCTAAAACAAGTGATTGCAGTAAAGGTCCAAGCAATAAGTTTGTAAATTGATGTGCGTGTACTGTGCATGGAATTTTTAGTGCAGCAAGCGTGCATGCATTGTGAAGTCACACTCATCTGTAGGAATCAATCGTACTGTAATTACAACAGACAATCTCTGGCAATGTTACTTAACAAACATGCGTCTGGAAATCATGTCTTGTCTGAATAGTACTACATTTGCATACTATAATTGAATCTGATAAGCGAGTCTGACTCTAAAAACTACATAAATCTCCTATTAATTTCACTGCAGGTACTGAATAATTCATAGCAGTTATTAAACAATAACAGGCTAATTTAAGGCTTTAAAGTAGCCTTTAGTAAAGACTTTTTTTTTTGTTTGTTTGTTTCATCAACATGTTGGTCTCTTTTCACTTTGGTTAATGGGCCTCCACATTACCCACAATTCTGTTCTCAACTATCTATCGCTAGTGGTGCAGTGGGCTTTCGCCCTTGCTTTATAGCTTCCTAAATAGAGCAATGCACTAATAGCAATGCAAACTTCTCATCTGTACACTCTGCTCAAACTGATCAGCTTCCAAGTTTTCAACTTTCACACTGATACTGCTGTCAGTGCCATCATGATTGTCATCTTGTAGACTTGTTAACTGGCCTGGCGAGTTTCTGCCCTTCTCTGGAATCAGAGTCTCTGGAACTCTCAGTTCAATGTATGTTATCTCTACTACTACTACTACTACTACTGCTAGTAATACTACTACTACTTCTACTACTGCTAGTAATACTACTACTACTACTCCTACTACTGCTAGTAATACTACTACTACTTCTACTACTGCTATTGCTACTGCTACTACTTCTACTACTGCTACTACTGCTATTGCTACTGCTACTACTACTCCTACTGCTAGTAATACTACTACTACTTCTACTACTGCTACTGCTACTACTACTAATATAACACTGAATATTGCTGGGAAAAAAGAAGCTGCTGCTCTTCTGTTTTAGGTGCTAACAGTGAAATCCTACCTCTTATGCATGAGTTTGCTGACTTGTACCCCTGTGATGTCGTTGCGAGCAACAACCTCTATCTTCACATGAGAATAACGAAAATGCAGCATCAACAAACATCAGCACCAGAACCACTAAACACACCATAAATATTTCAGTATCATCATATGTAATGTGTTTCAGGATGTAGTTTTCCTTTAAGGGGTTAATCTGTGTGTGCACTCAGGGGTAGGAAAATATAGTTCCTGATTGTAGTTTAAGTGACTACAGCATATGAATGAATGAATGAATGAATGAATGAATGAATGAATGAATGAACGTAATTTTCACGAATGTGTAATAGAAAATGCACAAATATGATAGTATTTGGTGCATGAGACTATGATCCAGTCGCACCCTGTGTGACAGTGACTCACACTCGGCTCTGAGTCATACTTCACACTCATGTGGGAGGATCTCAGCTCAGAGAGGAAATCTAAACATATATCGTCTGTTTTGTGTAAAAATCAACACAAAGCAGAGTATCGCGAGACTTGCGACTATCGTCCTAAGGAATCTCGCGAGAACCGAGTTATACTTGGTGTGGAATCTCGCGAGATTTGGATTGCACTTGGAAAGGAATCACCGAAAGATGGCGGCTCCGCCTGATGAGGGGAGTTTGGAGTCTCGCATCAGTAAGTCAAGCACAGTTTTAATTAAGCAGCTTTATAATGCACGGGTGACACGTTATAATACATAAAGAGACCTATTTGTACTAATCAAACGTAGGGCTTTGTTATTAGTTGTCGGTTTTTTGGGGGTTTTTTTTGCATAAGGCTTATCAGTGCCAAGACTTGAAGCTAGCTAGATAGCTAACTAGCTTGGCAGTTTGTTTGCAAGC